CTCGCAGCGGTGATACGAAACGTGCACGGCACGAATGGATTTCGGTCGCGCCGCGCTGCCTCCGTCAAAAAACCGCCATTGCATACCTCCGGTGTAGAACGACGAACAAAAACAAAACAAAAACAAAACAGAAGCAGGCTAACCGGAAAAGAATTACGTGCTCGCCCAACCCCGCTAGGCGTGCATCGATGACAGCATCATGAGAGACACCCAACATCAATCAAGTGAGAAGACGGGTGCGTGCCCGGGTGAGAGAGAAAAAAAAATGTTACGTTTTTCGTTTTGCTTCTCTAAATGAAGTACACAACCCACGGGGGAGGGGTGTGGGGGACTGAAGCCAATCATCACAAATGACAGAGAATCATTGCCCACGTATAAGCAGAAAAATACAAGAAACAAAAACAAAAAAAAANAAAAAAAAAACGAATTCTGGGATAGCAGAAGACGTCTAGAACTGGAAAAGTGCTGCAGCGCGAGGCCTTGGTTAAGAGAACGGCACAAAGCCGCATCAGCCACTAATTCCAATCCAAACATCTTTCATTTCTTTTCAATTAACGATTATGAAGTGAGTACAGACCAGTGTAAGGGCGAACATTATACGCAAGAAGCGTGTTGATGCTCTTTAGCGTGCCCCTACGGGACAGCCCATACCCTACACTGGAGCATAGGAAGGCCAAAGAGATATCACTCTTTTTCGCCTCCTTTTTCTCTTGGGTGCTTACGGCTTGGTTGTCCCTTTGGTCCAGCCCCACTGTCTGGTGCCTTTTTCCGGACTGCCGGCGGCTTGAAGTCTTCCCAAGTAGGGGAGCTGCTGCCACGCACACGTGGCTGTCCCTTCGCAGTGTGGACAGACGACGAGCTTTTGGACGAACTGGGAGTATTTGCTGGCTTTGTTGACTTGCAACTCCCTTGCTGCTCTTGTTGCTGGCGTTGCTGTGGTGACTTATGTGGTGGTGTTTTTGGCTTCACTTCACCCCCACGATGGGCATCGTCGTTGCCGAGATTTCGGGTGCGCGGGAGAAAAGAGCGGCCACGCGTAGGGGCAGTCGACAGCACAGCTCGCTCAGTGGCCGAAAGAGCGTAGCGGCCACCACCTTCGCCACCCGTTGATGGCGTCAACGACGTTGTAGCGTTGGATCGCCGGGTGACGCCACCGAGACGACGAATGTAATCTGCCAGCGGGGACTTGGGGTCTCTTCGCCGTGACATCTTTTTCCCTAGCGAAAATTTGTCACTTTTTTTCTTTTGGTACAGATGCAGCAAACCCCCTCAATTTGTACTGTCTATGTGTGTAGACACGCAGTAGTAAAGACAAGAAACGAAGTGGTAGAGGGAAAAGGATTCCAGGTGTTGTACATCCTAGAAGGCACGCTTGTAAAGTCGTATATATACATATATATATATA